GGGAACTGACCAAGTCGAAATGACATGTTAAAAATATGGGTTAATGGTTTGCATATCCCCTCAATTACCCATTTAACAGTTGTCATAGTGATGCCATCACTATCACTAGATGTTTTGTTACCACATTTATTCACTATCTCTATAATTTCCTTTTCAACTATGGGCTTCAAAAACATAGAACTCATGTTCCTTTCGATTGTATTATTATTTATAGTGACGGATGTATCATCTGTACAAATGCTTCTTGCTAAACCAGGACCAACATTCACAAAGAACCTATTAAACTTATCTACTACATCCTCCAATCTATTAACCGGTGTATCATTATCCATAAAATATTGAGGGTAGTTACTCTTGCTGGAACTGTTTCTAATCAATTTATTTATTATATTCCAAGTACCACGACTCTAAATTACCCCTAGGAGTGAGTGTCAGTGTGTGTACCCGGAGAGAACCCACACAGCTGGGTACTTGGAATATATTAAATAAATCTGAGATGCTTATTCCTGAATAGAGTCACTGGGAGAGCCAATCCCAGCAAATGCTGGGCAAGAGGCGGGGTCCACCCTGGACAGGTTTCCAGGCTATCACACACATGGCTGCCATGTAGACAAACAACCACACACTGACACTCACTCCTAGGGGTAATTTAGAGTCGTGGACTGTGGGAGGAGGCCAGAGTACCCGGAGAGAAACCACACAGCTGGGAGAACATGCAGACTCCACACAGAAAGGCCCTGAGTGAGCCCAGGCTCACACCCAAAACCTCGTTGTGAGGCGACAGCACTAACCACCGCTCCACTGTGCCACCCAAATGATTATCCATTCTTAGAAAATCTAAAATGGTTTGACTTTAATGGCTATTCAATCTTTGATTGTTTCAAGTTCATGTTTATTTTTTGTAACTTTATATCACCTGCCCTGATTCATATAATTATTATAATATTGTTTGCCTAGAAGCCCAGGCACAAGCACTAAATGTAGTGACAGTATTCAGGCGAACGCTGGATGGTTATATACAGGAGGCCAGACTATCACCTGAGGTGCTGGATGGGCATGAAACTAATTGACTCTGAGAGCCCAGTGGTGGCATAATGATCACAGTCACATAACCCCAAATAAAGGTTATAAAATATCAAGTGCTTCTTAATCCTTATGCAGTTCCAATAATAATAAGCACCTGACACAAAACGGACACGACTGATACTTGAGTCTGCAGCACCGTCTTTACCTACTATAGCCAGTAAGCAGAGTGTAGCACAGCCCGTCGGGACACGCACCTCCGCTGCTCCAACATGCACCTGTGGACCACAAAGCCCGACTCTTCCCGGGCCTGCCTGAATCGGAATGCGCACTATGTAGGGGGAAATAAAAAGCAGCGCCGAAATCACAACCCAAACCGAGACTACTGACCCCCTAATGTCTTCTGAGTCATTCACTGAAGCCTATTAAGCATCAGTGATGGCATCATATTGCCCATTCACAGCAGCTTTTTTGTAAATGAATACAAATACCCAGTGTCCTCTGATCTCCCCACAGCAGACGCACGATACACACCGTGTTTTACTGTTTTACTGTGGCACTCACCGAGCACCCCGGACGGTGTTGTGGACGTCTGCTGTCTCGGTTGGTAGCAGGTCCTGTCCTGCTGCTCACTTGGCATCGTCTTCTCCATCCTATCCCCTGCCCCGTCACTGTCGTCGACGTCTGCAGTGCTGTTGCTATCGTTTACAGTGGCGTTGGTATCAGCTGTTCCGGTGCCCGACGCCTGCATGGTGGTGTTCAATACTCCGGGTGGTGAAGCAGCTGGAAGACCGCAGTGCACGGAGGATTTTTGCTTTTATTGCATGGCTGTTGCATGTAGATGTGAAATCCTAGTGTATCCGATAGATGAGGAGGAGGAGGAGGAGGAACATGATCATGGCACCTACACGTTACGCGCACCAGTCGTGACTGGGTAGTGACGACAGAGCTTAGGGGAACACCATGCACGCTACAGGTCTGCAAACAATGAAATCCTGTGTACAGTACATACAGCTCTGAGACTCGTGCCACGGTGTCTTTTCACATAGCACATACATACACCAGTTTTTATTTTTAAAATCTTAAGTCTGGAACACCAAGAAATATATTTTGCTTTGTCCAAACAAAAAATACACGGATGAATTGGACGTAGACATGTAAAAGGCCCCCCATCCCTCCATCAGTCATAACATGTGTCTTATTCTCCTTCCATCTCTTTATGGTAGCCTTGCATATCTTTGTGATTGTTCAGTCTCTTTTACATCTCACACAGTGCCCTCTATGTGGTCATTTTAAATTTATTTGTAGCTTTAAAACTGAGTTCTATGACTTTCAAACAAGAAATATTAAGTCACTTTACTAAGAGTCTGGCCCAGGACCCTCTGACCTCTCAGACCCTTAGGCCTGTTCAGTAGTAATCCATCCATAGCCACATAATAACATAAGATAGTTAAATTAAATAATTATTTTAATAAGACGACATAAGGTAACTGAGAGAGTCTCAAATTTAAGGATTAAATTGTCATTCTTGCCAAAAATGAGTTCAGTTTTCTTGCATAGTGTTAACTAGTAATGACAGGAGGAGGTTATCTTAGCTTAATGCCAAGACTTGAAACAAGGAAACAGCAGTAAGGATTTTAGAATTATTCAGCTGTATCAAACAATAGAAATTTAATTGTCGATTTTAAATGCATTTTTTATTAAAGAAGACATGCAGACGTGAGTCACAGTCTGAGTCATTGTCAGTTTTCTCTAATTTGTAGAGTAGTAACATTAGTTTAAAGTTAAAAGAGAAGGGAAGAGTCAGGCTTGTCGTCCACAGGTGCATGATGGGGCAGCAAAGGTTCTTCCTCCCCTATTTCTGTTGGAAGGTGGTGTTTTGTGTCTTTGTTTCACTGCTTCAGGAACAGTGTGCAACAAAGTATTTACTTGTGATAGTTTCTTTTCTAGACAATTTGTAAATAAATGTACTATTGGGACAAAATGTAATAGTCCAAAGTTCCTTTGTCCTCCAGTAAATCCACTTTGTCTAGTTAGAATTATACTAACATCATACTTTGTAAATTACTGTACCCATCATACCTGTAAAAAGAAGTAGAATGAGGAGGAAACTTTATCATATTTATAAAATATTAATTTTGTTCCTTCCACTATGACAATACGCTGTTATGGACACTAGATGGAGGCAGTAGACAGACTTAAAACCGCTGAGAGGGTCAGACTGCTGCTATTTTAATAAATTGTGAACCTACAACTACAGGACTATACTCTTTCTGTTCTGTAATTTTCCAAAGGCTGATGTGGAAGGTAAAAGCTTCACATAAATGACTGAGGCAAATAGTCTAATGGGCATTTCATATATTCTGATTCTGACATTCAGGAAAAATAACTTGAAACAATTCATGTGACCATAAATGTCATATAGAAACATGATCACAGCTAATCAAAGACAAAAAAAGACAAAAACAAGATAAAGCTCTATGTATAGAGATCGCATGAAGGCAGTTTTCAAAGGTATGCCACTATTTGCATTGTGCCTAATCACTAGGCCTCTGTGAAAGGTTTCTAGGTGGCCCTGCCTCTGTCAGAATGTGTTCTTGCTGTTTTTACCTGTGTTTGTTGGTTTGTTTGTTCACAGTAAAAGTCAAACAGTAATGAATGGATTTAGAAATGTTTTGGAGAGGCAGGGTATGGCCCACAAAACAGTTTTTGTGCTAACCCGTGTTAAATCTGGATCCAGGACTTTTTTAAAGGATCCTTCACCATTGTGAGGTTGGGCCAGTTTATAGTTGGCCACTAACACTGGACACTGATCAAAAAGGCACAGGATGCACTTTCTGTGAGAGCACAGGAAGTTCAACCTGTCCCAGAAGCTGCTGATTCAGTTCTACAGAGGAATCTGCCACACTTCCATCACTGTCTGGTTTGGCTCAGCAGCCAAACAGGACAGGAACAGATTCTAGTTCACAGTCAGGACTACAGAAAGAATCATCAGTGTCATCCTGCCCTTCATGGAGGACCTGTACACCTTACAGGTAAAAAGGAGGGTAGAGAAGGTTTCTGCAGACCCCTCACACCCTGGACATAGTCTGTTCGACCTCCTCCCTTGTGGACGGCGTTACAGGTCACTGTACGCCAAGACAACCAGGCACGAGGACAGTTTCTTCCCCTGGGCCGTCACTTGTAGGATCAGTTAACCCATGTCTAAGGGTATGGCAGGATGCAGTAAACACCCCTGCACAACAACACACTGATGTAACATGTAGTAGGTCTTTTTTAACTTGTATACATACAGTATATATATTGTATATTTTTGTCCTCTGTTTTGTTTTGTTTTTTACTTTACAGTTTTATTCTCTTGGGCACTGGGTTGGAGTCAAATTCCTTGTATTTTTGATAATACTTGGCAATAAACTTAATGCTTATGCTCTGTAAAACTACAGCACAGGTGGGTTAATTTTCTAGTTATGTTCTATTCAATGACTCATTGGTAGGAACGAAAGGATCCAAGTCATAACAGGTGTTCTTTATGTGTAAATTTCACTGCCTGTTCTAAATCTACTCCACAAACAGAGAGAGAGAAAGAGAGAGAGTGATGGTGGTCGAGTGAGCTAATGTGTGAATGAAGAGAGGGAGAGGAACTAGCACAATAACAAAATAACAATAAAAGGTTATTTTGTGATTGTTTCATGGCAGATTTAAAGCATAAATACACATGGCCACACAAAGATTTTATGATAATGTAGTCAAGGCACATTCCCCATCTTCCTGTCTGCTCCGCTGTGGCCTCTGCCCTGCTCCTTTTGTGTGTGTGTCGCTAAGCCTTGCCCTTGGTCAAACAAACAAACACACAGCTCATATTATGATGGTCAAACTATCATTGGGGATATTGCTTTTAGGTGTAATTGGGGAAACTGAGCTGCCTTGATGGAGGCTTGTGCTCTCTGAGTGCTGTCTAGTTTTTTTTTATAGCTTATATTGTACCAGGAACTGCTGGATCCAAAAGAAGCCCATATTATTTAAATAATTATGACTGGTATGTTCTACATCGGTCACATCTCTTGGTTTCATTTTCTGTCTTAGTCAAAATAAACAGGGTACTGATAATATCCACACAATTTGTTAACTCCCAGGACACAGAACAACGTTTGGTGTCATGTAAAATTATGGTGTTTATGTGAGAGCTAATATTTATTATTACTGACAATGAGAGATCAGGGAGTTTATAGCCTCCTGTTGAACCAGGTTTATCCCATCACCTAACCCATGTGATTACATACACTTTGTACAGTGACAGCGGGAGGAATCCAAACCAAATAACAGCAGTGGCTTTAACTCTGTTACACTTTCTTAGCAGACAAAATGATCAGTGATCGATCTCTGATGGAAAGTCACTGACAGAGATAAACAAGGCAGTTCCAGCAGATCACAGCAGCTCACCAGCATCCAACAAATTACATTTGAGGAAAAGGTCATTTGTTTCTCAGTGAAGTCCTTGCTTCCTACAGTTTTACTTTGTACATATTGTATATAGAGCAATGGATAACAAGATAATATACTGACAATATAACATTTAAATATTATTGTAGAGGATTTACTTCATATTTATAATGACAACTGCCAGAAAAATAGTTTGTGTATTCAGTGTAAAAAGATGTATTTTTATTTGATTTGAGCCCCTGACTTTTCAAACCAGCGCTAGGTCAAAATGTTAATTTACACAATACTTTTAAACGAATTTAACTCAAAACTAATGGCATATCAGTCCAAACTGTCCTATGTGTAATGTTACTTAGCACACAATAGCGGGCTAAAAATGAAGATGGAGAATAACTTTAATATATCTTAACATCAGCACATTAGCAAGCTGATAGTTACAGGTTTTTAAATGTACTTTTTTAGTTTAGTAATTAAACTAAATCTAATTGTTCAGTTCGGTTGAAATTGTTCTACACATGAAACAAAATGCCCTGCAGCTGGGAAACAGGAAAGAAAACCAGAAACATTAGCGCTATAAGGACACCTTGTATATGTAGTTTATTGTTGTGGTACTGCAATTAACCCAAGAAAAGTTGTATTTGCAGTAGTTTGTTGACACCACAAGTACAAATTTAGTACTACAGGATTGTCCATGAAGCTGAGGCTCATGAATTGAAGCCCACTCCCTTTAGAGCAATTAAACTGATGTTTTCCTATCCATAACTCTTCAGCTAAGAGAGGTGAAGGTGAATGTCAGAGCTATGCAGAAGGACTATTAGTGCTGGGGAATACTGTGATTAACATGAGTCGACAGGAAACTGCTTTCAGATGACAGGAAACACATTTGCACAGACCAGTATCACCAAGAAAAACTTTCCAGTGAGGAATAATTATAACACGTGCTGTGTCTCAGTCACTAATAAAGTGACCCCCAGAAGTATCCAACCAGGTGACCTTCAGTGCCCTCACAGCTCCTCCTGCACTAAGCTGCACATCCCAAATGTGGAAAAAACACTTGATGTTAAACAAAGGATATCCTTTAGACGGGAAGGAGCTCTCCCTTTGCTCAAGTCTAAGTACAGTATTTATTAATTGGCACCAACACAATCCACTTCTGGATCTTGAATTAACAGTACGTTCCCATCCTTTCACAGGGCAATGAACAGGATGTTTGTCTGTTCTCTTGATGGGTTGTCTCCATTTTGGCTCAGTGATAATATTGTTCTGGTCCAAATAAAATTGAATTTGCACTGAACTTGTTCTATGATGCAATTTATCAGGAACATAATGCCAAACGTTGTTACAGTGATGTAACGAAAATGTCCCATTCATAGCTCACAAATGTTAAAGGAAACAATACTTTTTATACTTTGTCTTTTGTTTTCAAAACCAAGCAATCGCCAAAGGTAGGAGATAAAATATAGCCACTATTGGTGGTTTTAGGCTTTTTTGGGACAAGTCAGACCACTTATCAGCCCCCACTGTAAACTCCATCTTTCCCCTTTCATATGGCCTTTAAAAGAAATACATTTTGTTTAGGCTATGGATATCCGTGTACTCTGAGGTTAAGTGACAGCACGCTGTTTTAAGAACAGCATGCACGCAAGAACAATTGCAATGGTTGCTCTCATCTACTTCTGCCTGCCTGCTGACAGGCTAGCAGGTAAACATAAACATGCTAGACAGATTAAATGGCGTTGCCAGTAAGTCTTCCCTGAAACACCGTGGTAGGGGTCGGAGAGTCATTTGTAGACAATTAGCCACACAATAGGTGACACACACTAGGATAAACAGTTATTTCCGGGTGTGAATATCTTAAATAGCTTTGTTTATAAAGAAGAGACGGGCAGAGTTGATGTGGTTACTTTAAAACAAAGCTTTTATTTTTTTATGTATTTACCGTCTAAAAATAATACATGATTATTCATGCTGAAATGCATAATGTGTAGATACAAGTCATCAACACCAAAGTGTAAGGGTTATTCATATTACATTTATAAATGCATTATGAAGCATAAACTGTCATAAACAGTATTTATTACATTGGTACATTTATGGATATACAATGTGTGAACTCAATATGAGGGGATTGCATTTAGCTATGTATAACGGTGCAGTGGAGGGCAGATCTCATGATTCTTTGGTTTGTCTCATTTAGATCAACTAACCCAACATCCTAGAGGGATTTTGTTTCTCCCTGAGAAGAAAAGAGAGAGAGAAAGAGAGAAAATGACAGAAGTCAAAATGATGAAAAAGAAAATCACTGCTTAAAGGACACAACTGATATGCTATATTTGTCTTGTTATGAAATCCCACAGAATAAACCAGACCCAACTACAATTTTTTTCAATTGTATTATTATTTTGACTGTATGTAACATGATCAAATAAATAAATAAATAAATAAATAATCCTCTTTGCCACAGACCTCTAATTTTACACAGAATCTATTGCAAACAAATCATTGATATGCTGTTGCACTGGGTGACATGTCTGTTACAATGAACATGGGCACTGTTTCTTTTGAGGACAGTGGGTTTATTCTAAAGGATAAGCCCAGTCATTTTCTATATTAACAGCATTTTGGTGACCCCCATACAGAGACTAAAATGAACAATGAACCGCCTCTACTGACAGTTAATGTCCATCAGTCTGTCAGTCCTGGATTAGCTTCTTCTTCTTGCCATAGACCTTCATTGTTGTTCAAAAATGATTAAGAACCCATCAGTGAAACACATCGCTGCACTGGGTGACATGTTTTTTCATTAGCAAACCTCAGACCTGCGCATGAGGACCAAAATCTTGTGCATGCGCAATTGACTCTGACTCATGTTAATTTCAGTAAATTATAGAGCCTCTGGCGCAACATAGTTGGATCTGGGGTTTTGTAATGAACAAACATGCCATCCATTGCAGTGCTGTGTTTCCCTGATGTGTTTCCCTGATTGTTTTTGAGCAACCATGGAGATCTATCGCACAGACGAACAAGCTAATCCAGGACTGACAGACTGATGGACATAACCTGTGAGTAAAGGCAAATCATTGTTGGTTTAAGTCTCTGTATGGAGATTGCTTAAAATACTATTAATATAGGCATGACCAGCCTTATCTTTTATGTCAATCCTGCATACATAGTTCTGCTTCCAGAAATACTCACTAGAGCACCAAATGTGTATTAATCCACAACTCAATAAAGTTCCCAGCAAAAACACTATTTACTTCTTAATGGGTAACGTTTGCTGAAAACTATAGTGCCCTGCTGTTTTAAAAACTGTTTAGTATTAAAAACAAATACACATATATTTGTTACCCTGTATTTAAATATTTACATTTTATGTAAAAACCAGCGGGTTGGGGAGCTGTGACCCATAGAGAGGTTTGCTAAGTCAGTGTACTGAGAGGTGGATTAGTTTCTGTTTTGAATATGGCCTCTGTGCACACACTGGTCAGGCTGCAACAGAAACACTACAGCGAAGGACACTTCATACTCACTGTGGGCCAGAGGCGTTGATGATGCGTTGCAGATCTTGAAGGTGCTGAGCAAGGCTGGCTGTTGGTTAAACATAAGAAAACTGTAACTTGCCATTACTTAGTCATGAGAGAAGTCAGTCAATCTGCTTTTAAGCTTCACAATATGACAGGAATGTTAAACATTGTATTAACATTTCTACTGAGGTTCTACAAATGTTACAAATATCAAAGACATCCATTCAAAGTTTGACAAAGTTATGGAATAATTAATAATTGATATGTGAAATAATTAATAATTGGTATGTAAAGTATCTAGTGCCTAGGTTTGTTCATGCATCTCTATTAGCATTTCTTGTGATGCTACTTTAAAGGGCCAGTTCACCCAAATTATCTATCCAGACATGTAGATAGTTTTGTTATTATTTATGCAGGTAGTCCACAAACCTGCCTGTCAACTATCCAGGACAGAACATGTTGCTGAAATGAGAGCTTTCTCCTGAATACTTTTTATTGTTGTGACTTGTCAAAGCTTTGAGTACCACGTGGGTTTCTCAAAACCTGGGAAAATAAATCCAAACTTATAGTTGGATGCCAACAGAGATATGTGAAAAAATACTTGTCTGTAATCTGGGTGAACCAAGCCTTTTTAAAAATGTCCCAGAATGGGAAAAACAAACTACACATAAATAATGGCAACTACTACATTTATTCATTCTTACTTGTGCCTCCTCCCTGTCCATTCATCCTTCCTGCACCAAATGAAGATCCAGTTCCACCATAACTAGTTCCACCTCCTGTCTTACTTGATCCTGAGTTACTGCTCCCAAACCCAAACCAAGAAATTGCAGAGCTGGTTGACCCAGTTTTACTTGCTGATCCAGCTGACTCAGGGGATGACCCGAAACCAGAGGAGCTTCTCACGCTGGATGATGGCTTAGTTAAGCCTATCCCACTTGAGCTAAGACTTGAACTTGAACCAATTGATCCAGAGGCTGTCCCAATGGTAGATGACCCTCTCGCATTAAGTGCTGGCTTATATGAGGCTATCCCACCTGAGCCGAGATTTGGACTTGAGGGTGCTGATCCAGTGTTTGAGAAAGCTCCCTCGTTTGATCTTGGCTTGCTGAGTGCTGATCCGATGGAGCTTGTTCCCGATCCTGGCTTGTTTAACACTGACCCAAATGAGCCAAAGCTCGAACCCAAACCACCTGACCCTGTCGACCCGGGCTGATTCCACGGGTTTACCCGAGAGACTGAGCCACCTGAAAATCCACCAAACCCTGTCTGAAATAAAATGAGAGCATTGTTAATATGGGAAAACCTGATGCTTTCATTAACAATATACTGTATGTTGCAACCAAAGTATTTTGATTTGACCAATGCAAATCTCTGATTGCTCTGAACAAAAATTTCAAATATGCCACTAGAGGCCACACTGATGCTACAGTATCATCCCCACAAATTTTATTACATGTTTGTTACTTACCCTAGACATGCAGGACACATTGAGCTGCTTGATTTGCTCTGTAAGATGAGCAACTTCACTATTTCTCAAGTTGACACTGTGCTCCAGAATATCTATTTTTCCATTTTGCTTTTCCTTCTCCACCAGGAGTTTCTCCTTCTCCTTGTCATGTTTCAATTGAAGCTGGTCTAAGTTCTGTTTGTGCTCCTGGATCAGGCCTGTGCGGTTCTTACTGCACCAGCGGTAGTCCTCAGACAGTCGCCAGTTCTCTGCCTTTAAGTGGTTGTTCTCACCCTGGATGCCTGACACCTGGTCTCCTACACTGTTCAGGTAACCCTGGAGCTTGTCCTCTACTTCTCTGGAAAGACTGGTGCAGTTGGTGCGGATCTGCTCGAGGTGTTCCCTCTGTTTTGGACAGGTGATTTGGAAGGCAATGTGTGCAGGGAAGAGGGATTCGATCTTCTTTAGAAAAGCCTTAGAGACATTGGAGACACCACTCAGGGACAGCGAAAAGTCATCTTTAGATTGTCGTCTATAGAAGTCCAACTCTTTTTGTAGTGTGGATTTGTCTCTCCTCAGACGGATGGCCTCCAAGTTAATGTAGTCCCTCTCTTTAGCAGTCTGCTCCATGTCCCTCCTCATCATCCGCATTGTTTGGGTGAAGTTGGACTCCATCAGCTGAAGTCTGGCTCCCAGCATCCCACAGGCGTTAGGGCCAGTGGAAATGACTAAAATGTTGAATTAAGAAATAAAATAACGGAAAAAGAGGGAAGAAAGTGGGTAAATATATTTTCTTTAAAACTCATCATTTGTTTAAACAAGATTAGGGAGAATAACTTAAATGTGTCATTTATTATTTTAATATTTGTGAGTTAGCACTGAAGAAACATTTACTTACTTGGAGGGCACCCAATAGGTTGGGGATTCTTGCAGAGGAGCGGGTTGTTATTGCACAGTTGCTGAGTGAAAGAAACGCCAATGGTGTTTTAGTGATTTCATTTAAGCCAGTGGTTAAATTTTAAGAAACAGGAAAAACGATTGATCATTCGAGGTTGTGCATTCAACACCAGAGTGGTACTTTCATTGATATTAACTAATAAACAGAATCAGTTTTGTTGCTTCTTGCTCTGAAAACAGTAACATAATAACTCAGAACTACATTTTACAATCCCATTTTACATCTAGGCTCTAATTGGTGTAAATATACTCAATATTTAAAACCCAACAATAGTTAGTAAACCACAATGGCATGAACATAACCACAGTGCAAGTTCAATGTCTACTGAAAGGAGTTGAATTCCAAGTAAGACACAAAAGTTCAGTCACACACAGTGATACTAAAGACAGGCACTTGCATGTCAGAAATTATCAAAAGGTTTAAGTCAGTTGCTTACCAGCTTCCTTTCAAAATCTTGGATAAAGAGCAGTGAGAGGTTGGCCAAGTAGCGGAGCTTCAACAGGTCCAATTCGATACGGGCCTTACTAGTCAGGGTAGCATTTAGTAAGTTTGTCAGGTTCTTCCTCTGCTCCCTGAGAGCGACATTCTCTATGGAGAGCCGGCTGAAGCTCTCCTCCAAGCTCTCAATGCGTTGTCCTGTGGATGCCGAGTCCTGCTTCTTACCGTATACCAGAAAGAGCACGAGACTAACTATGATAAGAGACTGAATGAGGGAAGAGAAGAAGAAGACAATGCGCATGTAGTAGCCGCAGCTCTTGCCCTTTGAGCGGTACTGCATCCTCTTTTGGGCCTCCGGGCTGTACCTCTTCACATGGGAGTACCCACTGTTGTACATGAGTACTGATGGCCAAAAGACGGTCAGAGAGAAGTAATAAAATACAATTTAAGGCTGGAGAATGATGAGCAGGCAGTGAAGTTCAAACAAGGTTCATCAGTGAATCAAAGCTCAGACAAGGTCCTCAGCACTCTGCAAGCCAAATGAACTGATAAAATAATGCTGGATTATTTCAGACCAGCCACAAGATTCCACAGTCCTAACACACTGCAAACATGAGCCAGACGTTTCCTTTCTGCAATGCTGATAACATGAAAATTGATCAGATTGTGGATGAGATGTAAACTTGGGTAGGATTATATAAACTCTTCTGGCCACACACTCCTTATGATGGGAAGTTGGGTCAGTCCCCTCCCTCCATTAGCTATCCCCTGGCTCCACTGGCTGCCCCTCCCTATACAGAGGT